AATCTATAAAACAAAATCCACACAGTGATTGGAGTACAAAAAATTACTCTGAAAAGAATTCAGAAGGACCTCATAATTACATGTAGTGCAAGAAGTTAACAAGAAGTGATGGTTGGAATGCTGGCTGGGTAGTGGTTACCAGTGCAGAAGGGGTTTGCTAGTTCTGGTAGTCCCTTGTGTCATACTACATATAACGTGTAAACTATTATTACCCATTTAGCGAAATCACGTGACTGAGGTCACACGCCGAAGTGTATCACACAAGGTAGGCCCAAAGCCCACATCTCGAATCAACTTATTGGTCTTATGGTATACTCTAGTATCCATTATTGTCGACTGCCAAAATTGAATTTGAGCCTGTTAGACATCTAAAACTAATAGGAGTAACTTACTTGGTAATCAGTCTTTTTCAACAGTGAGGTTAGAAGCTGCTAAAGTTTTACATGATCCCAAATAACTTCTAGTTATCATCCTCCTTTTTAATGGTCTGAGTTGCTGCAGTTTCTTTCTTTATTTGAGTCATGAGGATGTGATTGTGCTCAAATTTGCATGTCTGATCTGAGGGGTTTTTAAATATACGCATGTTTTGTCTACAAAGTTTCTATCAGTTTGAGTTTTTATATTTGAGCTTTATCCTGTGTGCTGTATTCTTATTCTGGCCTCTATGATAGCTGTGGTCCATATATTCTGCCGGTAATACAGTGCCAATTCCATTTTTGAAGGCGACGGATATATCGCCCATTGCACTTTTGTCTGACAATGTTCTCGGAGGATGGCAGCAGGAGTGTTGGAATTGTAGCTATAGAAGCAATGCAGGAGCTTTTTACTGGCGATGCTCAGCCTAAAAAGGGTAGAAGCAGACAAAACGAAGTACTCTTTTTTCTTCCCAGTTGTCTCTTTGTGATGATATCTTATCCCTGTTTTTATTTAACTGCCTTTATTCGTTTTGTAAATCACCGTAAGTGCACGGTTCGTTAACAAGTAATAAAGTGAAAATTGTAAAATTTCAAGTATCGTCCCACGATGATTGATTTGATTTGATTTCTATTATCAAAACCTTAACCGAATCTATTAAACTCAAGATGGTTGGTGATTTGAATNGAAAAAGCATACTAGGATCCTGACTCACCAAGAAATGTTCACTCTTAACCCCTATCTCACAATTTTACAACACGATGAATCTTTTTGAAAAATCAATGTTTCTAACTTATCCAACAATCTCTTTCGAGTAGAATTGAACATATTCTAGCATACAATTTGACCATATTTTTATGACAAATGCAACATATAAGAATGCACGACGTTTTGTAAACACTTAAAGATTCACGTAAAGTATAACGGTATATTTCTATCCCTATGAACCCTATAATGATTTATACCTTGTAAAATCTATTTTCCTTCTTTCGAATACATAAAATAGATCATCCAAACTCATATAATCACATGCATTTAACTATGGAGGTAAGAAAGTGTATATAAATCATTCAACATCCATCAATTGTGTTTGAATGTCAAACTGCAAACTAGAGAATTAAAAGATCATATAGCGAGGTTCATCATTCACCTAATACATAAAAAGTCTAACTTAACATGGATAAAATAAAAGAACAACAAAAATAGTAAAGAGAAGACATCACCCAAAAACTAGAAATTAGGTTTGAAATCTTGAATCTTGAAGGAAATCCTTGTTCTCACTTTCTTGTTAGCTCTCCAATGAGTTTTTCTCTCAAAGAATGTGTACTCCCTCTTTTTGGACGATATTAGGGTTATAAAGAAGTTCTAGATGTATTACCATAAGTGTTTGATTCAAATAAGGAAATCAGAAAATTCGCGCTCAAAATGAAACATGCAATTGCATGGTATAAACCCATACGACAACATGGTTATACAAATTTTTCAATGTTCATCTCTTGTTAGTGTTTGAGCGATTGCATGAACTTTTTACCATGCGACTACATGGTAGAAATTATTTTCCTTTTGATTTACTTTGGTCCCCAAGTTTGTTTCATCCATCTTTTGATTTTGATTCCTTCTCCTTCTAACATCCTATGATATCACGATGTGTTACTTAATTCAATTTCATGCTTGATTCACCATTCGGGCCATCTTCTGAATAATTACATTTTGGTCCTCGAAGTTTTATGTTTTTCCATTTTGGTCATTTTTCGTTCGTTTTCTCATACTCTTCATTCCATCCTTCTTTATAATCCTACAAACACAAATTATATCGAATTAAGTCATATTTCAACATATACATCAGCAATTTTTAACAAGTGTCCCTTCCTCCAAGTGTATATCAAAGGCTTACTTCAAGTCCACTTCTAATAAATCTTGCTCAGGCATTGGCTTACCACAAAATGTACTTCCTGTTCACCCTAAGTATATATACATTGAAAATGATAAAAATGGAATAGCATTCTCTCTTAGCCATGCAAATGTTGTGGTGAAATAGGGCCTAGCCTAGTGCAAGCTTTGCTTCACTTTCAGAACCGACATACTTTATAACTCGAATGTTTTATGACTCGAATGAATGATGTTGAGTATTTTATGACTCAAATGAATGATGTTGATTGCTTGAGTGTACTTCCAGGTGCTATGAAGAGATGCCACTTCAGGATATGCAAGCAGCACAAGAGCACCAGACCATTCAGAACCTTTCTGATACTTTTCAAACTATTTTACAATTGTAAATTTTCGAGTTTTTTAACAGAAATGTACATTGATTGTGTTGTCTACTATACTATACATTCTGAAATGGCAATTCAAAGTTTGGTACGTAATTTATTTTTTACCAGTTAGCCAAGCGTTGGTTGTTGCTATTCATCGCTATTACACAATTATTATTGTCTTGTGAAAATTGCAGTATGCCTTTGTGGGGTTCTAACTACGAGTGGGCGTGATTCGACCTGATTCAGTTCCAAAGAGAAGAGAACCAAATAGAGTATCATTGGGTATTTTGAAAATGAAACAATTGGTTCTATCTCTAATTATGGAACTGAACCAATTCGTCAAATGGGTCCTCGTTTATTTAATTATTTAAGTTTTTATTATATTTCTTTCACGCGATTTAAATTTTAAAATACGTATAAAGTAAGATAAAATAAATAATAATTGGGATGGAGAAAATGCTAGGCGTTTTAGTGACGTGTCAGTTTGTCATCCCTTATGTTTAAGATATTATTAATATTACTATTATTATAATACAAAAATTACAGTAAATGTATCGATTTTATTCCAAGTCTGGCAAAAAAATATATAATGGTTAATTTTGACAAATATATTTAACGTAATAATCTGTGAAAAAATAAATAAATTATAGTTTTATATTTAACATAAGACAAAAACAATAATATGAAATTTATGTAGGAGTTATGACACGTTTCAAGAGTTGATGTGCGGCTCTAAAACAATGTTTAAGGAATGGACAATTCCATTCGTACATAATGGATGACAATGGAGGTTGACAATCTCTCACATGAATGCGGGCCCTACGTGATTAAAAAAATTCCAAAAAAAAAAAAAAAAAAGTGGACCTGCTATTGTGAATGTTCAGTCATCCTCATTGTCCTCCATTTCGATAAATCTAGTATGGTTGTTAAAGAATAGGGTCAAAGTGATATTTTCTCAAAAGTTGATTCCATGTCAAAAAATGAAGTCGCGTGTTAAGTGAGATAAAGAAATTTTCTTCTTCCAATGGCGAAGTCGGCGATGGCGCATTCTTCCCCGCAAAGTCAACGGCTACCGGAAAATCTCCCCATTCTGAAATATTATTCTCTATATATACTTATTACCATATTCTAATCCAACTAGTTTTGAATTATATACTCATTACAATATTCTTTTCTATATATACTTATTACCATATTCTAATCCAACTTGTTTTGAATTAATGTTGTAAGAGAGACTAAAAATACAGCCCAAATTGGATAGCCCAACCAATTTGTCAAATGGGTCCTCGTTTATTTAATTATTTAAGTTTTTATTATATTTCTTTCACGCGATTTAAATTATAAAATACATATAAAGTAAGATAAAATAAATAATAATTGGGATGGAGAAAATGCTAGGCGTTTTAGTAACGTGACATTTTGTCATCCCTTATGTTTAAGATATTATTAATATTACTATTATCATAATACAAAAATTACAGTAAATGTATAGATTTTATTCCAACTCTGGCAAAAAAATATATAATGGTTAATTTTGACAAATATATTTAACGTAATAATCTGTGAAAAAATAAATAAATTATAGTTTTACATTTAACATAAGACAAAAACGATAATATGAAATTTATGTAGGAGTTATGACACGTTTCAAGAGTCGATGTGTGACTCTAAAACAATGTTTAAAGAATGTACAATTCCATTTGTACATAATGGATGACAATGGAGGTTGACAATCTCTCACATGAATGCGGGCCCTACATGATTGAAAATTCCAAAAAAAAAAAAAAGTGGACCCGCTATTGTGGATGTTCAGTCATCCTCATTGTCCTCCATTCCGATAAATCTAGAATGGTTGTTAAAGAATAGGGTCAAAGTGATATTTTCTCAAAAGTTGATTCCGTGTCAAAAAATGAAGTCGCGTGTTAAGTGAGATAAAGAAATTTTCTTCTTCCAATGGCGAAGTCGGCGATGGCGCATTTTTCCCGGCGAAGTCAACGGCTACCGGAAAATCTCCCCATTCTGAAATATTATTCTCTATATATACTTATTACCATATTCTAATCCAACTAGTTTTGAATTAATGTTGTAAGAGAGTAACGAAAGGTTTTCTCCTGTCTGGATAAGGATTAATAGTTCCCATCAGTTTCCATAATTGTAAAACACTTGCTATATTTTCAAGATTATAATTAATGACAAAGATCATAATAATTACTAACAGAAGGATACCTTTACCTATATATAGAGGACTCCACAAGGCCAAAGGACAATGTTCACCAACTTATATTGTAGTCTTTAAGGTGTTTTCTTGAAGTTTCTCTCTTAAACATGGCCATGAGTTCAAGATTTCTCTTACAACATGAAAAGATAAATGAATATGAAGAGGGCTTGCAATTGGTTGTAGAAGTTGATGAATCAATTCTTGGAAACACGAGAAAAGAAGAAGAGAATTTGCAATTGGTTGTTGAAGTTGATGAATCGAATCTTGAAAACACGAGAGAAGAATACAAAGAGAAATTGCGATTCATTGAAGATGCTGATGAAGAGTCGAGTATGACGAAGAAGGAATTTGTATTACCACGTGGCTACCGGTTTCATCCGACAGCAGTTGAATTATTGGAAGGGTATTTGATGAAGAAGATCTTAAGACAGCTTGTTTGGGACATTATTAAAGATATTGACTTCTTTCAATATGATCCTCAACAGATACCAATAAGTAAGTTCAAAACCGCTTATTCTTGCATAAAGAGTTTCAAATCTGCTTATCCTCAGACAGAGTTTCAGATCTGTCATGCATGATAAAGCAGCTTTTCTTGGCTGAAGCTTATTCTGCATATGGAAATCATACTTTTTTGCTGTTAACTGAAAGCTTTCGTGGATCATATCGAAGATATAAGTGTATATTTAGTAAAACGAGGCCAAAGCAGGCGGTGGACACTTTGTTTGCTTAAACCATATGCTATTTTGCCTTCTTGATGTTCTTTAGTTATAAACAGTCACGATATGTATGGTTCTCTGTACTTAAAGTTCGGTTCAGTCTAATCTAACGTACCAAATATGTGCACCGGTCATCTAAATTGGATTCATAATATCAAAACATATCAAAATCCTATACTTAGCTCGTATGTGACTCCTAATTGTTACAATTTCTTTCTTTTTCCCTAACATTATATTTTGGTTGCATTTGTCTATAGGAGAATTCGAGACTCTCAATTATGGAATAGAGGGCAAAGCATACTTTTTCACGCGCGAAGATCAAAAATACTTACGGGGATCAAGATTAATACGTAGCCCAATTTCTAATGGCTATTGGAGAAGAAGTGGAAGGGAAATTCCAATTCATAATGGCAATGGAATTATTGGTTTCAAGAGAGTATTTGTATGGAAAGAACCAGGTAATAGAGAAGAGGGCAATTGGAAGATGACTGAATATAGAATAAATCACAATTTCATGGAAGATCTTTCTCAGACCAATGTAAGTTGTTTTCTCTTTCGAGAATTTTCAGGGTTAAAAGCACCCTTAGTCATCAAACTTATAGCATTGTTCAACTTCGTTTAAGTTCAGACACTCCGACTCATGACGTTTATTTCATTTATTGCAGTCTGAAAACTACGTGGTGTGCAAAGTTCGAGACATGAGTAGATACAAGAAGTATTCAAGAACGGAAGAAGAAATTGACTCGCTTGAAGAACTCATATTCTGGGATGAATGTTTTTGTGCTTCGAAAGATTTAGACGGAAATCATTAGAAATTTGTTTTTAGTAAAACCTATTTCTTCTAGAGAATAGTAATGTAATATAAACTCAATTTACCATTTCTTAGTTCGCTCTATTTATTGTATACAAATTGTCTTTGGATCTTCGAAGTCGCATGAACGATTGCATAATTTTATTTTAAAAGTTAGTTATGTATATTTTTTCACAAGTCGATATGATTCATCCTTATAACTAGTAACAGAGAGACGTACACATGGTAAAATAAGGTCTCAAGTAAGCCGATCTCGACTACTAAGGCTAGAGCGAACATATCAATCCACAACAAATACTAGTAGTAGTAGTAGTGGAGTTCACCTAGCCTCAGCCAAGACTGTATAAGCCAATAGCAAGCTGAACCTTTCCTACCGTATAACCAATCAAGGCTAGCTAGTTAACCATCCGTAGTGCCTTCCAAGTCGTACTTGTATGCCCTCATATATTGTAGGCTAGCTCAAGCCTACAAGCTCTCGAATGGTAAGTTATGAGCTCTTACATGCACGAGCTGAGCAAGTTAAGCGCCACGCCATATTTCAATTATGGTACAATTTTAGCAGGCAAGCAGATACACACAATCGCACACCGTGAAATTATATCTTTTTATAATATATTAAATATCGCATAAAGTGAGAATAATTTTCTGGACGATTTTAGCGCTACTATAATTTAATTATTTCAATAGTACCTTACTTTTCATTTTTCAATATATATTTAATTGAATATTAATTATTAAACATGCACACAAATAAATAATTGAATTTTATGAGAACAATCAAATTGATTCATGAACATAAAATTTAATTAATTTGAATCAATGAATATAGAAAAAGAATAATTTATATACATTTAGACAAATAGTGTTATATCATAGATTAAATGAATAATATTGAAATTAAATAAGTGTACATGAACTTGAATAATTTATCTACTCCTATAATAATTGAATAGCTCCCAAATTATATGATCTTTAATAATTTATATACTCTAAAATAATTTATGATAAAATGAATAATCTTGAAAATAAATACGTGTTTATGAACTTGAATAATTTATTTGCTCCAAAAAAAATAATTTATATACATTTAGACAAATGACGTTATATCATAGATTAAATGAATAATATTGAAATTAAATAAGTGTACATGAACTTGAATAATTTATCTACTCCTATAATAATTGAATAGCTCCCAAATTATATGATCTTTAATAATTTATATACTCCCAGAATAATTTATTACAAAATGAATAATCTTGAAAATCAATATGTGTTCATGAAATTGAATAATTTATTTACTCCAAAAATAATTGAATAGCTCCCAAAACATGTGTACATAAACTTGATGACTTAATTTTAAATTTTATATATCCATAAGTAAATGTTAATTAGTATAAATGCACATACATAGATAATTAAATTGTAGTATTTTAAGAGTAATTGAACAACCACCAAAATATATTAAGTGCACATGCAATGAACTTGAAGAATTAATTGAGTGATTTATAGCAGGATATATATAAATTAATGTTAATTATTATCATACACGTAAATAAATAATTGAATTTTATAAAAAGTTCATTTCATATAAACAGGTTTTTAAACTTTTTTATATTCACTTATTTTCAAATGTCATTTTTACCGTGTTTATAAAACATTTCAAAATAATGTGCAATGCACATTTAGTCGTGACTAGTTTCTGATNATAAAACATTTCAAAATAACATGCAACGAACGTTTAGCCGTGACTATTACATCAAAATATATAACCATAGAAATTCTTTCATGTACATAATGAAACAATTTATTGTGGTTATACCGTTTGTCCCAGAGAGGTGAACTAAGATCTCTGTTTAACTAATATCAATATCAATATACATCAATTTGCTTTATTCACAACCCCCAGTAAACAAAGAATTTGGTAATAGTAATTTCTTGAACTAGTCGAAAGCAAGGAGATAATAACAGGAAGGCTTGAATTATTTAGACTCGCCTCTTGCAAAGAGATATATATCAAAAGGTGTCCGTGGAAAAGGAAAAGCCTGAAATGGAAAAGTCAATAAAATATAAAAGCGAAGAATGATGAATGATCTAGTAGCGCAGCCAGTAAGTCCGGCGTCTGAACCAGTTATAATCAGGTAAACCCTGAATAGGTCCCCTCGCTGAAATTGCAACGTCCTGCAACAATCGAAGGTAGACAAATTGTGAGGCATAGGATATGTGAGAAATACAACACTAAGAAAGGTAAATTGAGATGATGAAGATTGTGTTGGTTAAGATAAATTTCCCTTACGAACATTACCGACTTCGAGTGGTTCCATGAGTAATGTATAATCAAAGTTAATTCGCTTAAATAGTTCAAATCTAAAAGAGACGTGCATGCACCATTGGTATTTCTTCTTGAATCCCACAATCAGTAATTTCATATATTTAGAAGTCTTTTATTTGTAATAGAGGGAAGGAAAAGTAAATGAAATGTTGATAGATTTCTCAATTTATTGTCTCAATATGATCTATGATTTACACACTTCCTAGTCGAAATTAAAGAAAGAAAATAGTTTAATCCATTTCCTTCCATTTATTTCCTTACTTCCCTCTTCCCCCTTTTTCTTTTTCTTTCTTTCTTTCTTTCCGCCCAAACCAAACAATCGTTGTGGACAGGCTCCATCAAGCAACCATACATTTTAAAAGAAACTAACTCCTATTTTATCATAAAGTAGTCTCTTGTCAATCCTATTATTGCATTGATGAAGAAATACTCTCCACAACCTTGAATTATACTAAGGAAGGGAAGACTTGTTAACTGGTCAAATAAGAACATTTTAGAATACAGGTATCACCAGAACAGAAAGCTTACTCGGTCAAAAATAAATCGATTTGCAACACGCTTGATAGTGCTTGCATCTACTGCATCAATCCTTGCAAACAGCTCAGCATATGGAATTCTTCGCCCATATGTAATTAACTGCAGAAGAAATAAATTAATGCATAAGGTAATACTGATTACTGCATCCCAAAACCCAATACAAAGAATAAAGCACTGGAATCTGATTTTCATTCTCAACATAGAATAGACCAGTTATCTACTAAGTTATGTCACAAATAGTTGGTAAAGCCTTTGGTCTGTATTTTTCGGGCAGTGGCAGAGGTAGGATAGTGAACTAGGGGTGAGCAACATGCACACATTCTAGTAACTCATGAGTTTGTCAATTCTTCAACTCCATACAGAATTTTCACTTATTTATTCTCTTTTTCATTGGTCTTGCAAAAGAATGGCTGTTTTATGGGAGAAACTATGGTTTCAGTATGAGGAGCATAATAGCCATAACAGAGAAATAGTGAGAAAAGACTGCTATTTTAAATTCACATTGAATTACATTGTTTCCATAACTCAGAATCTGTGGCAGCTGGATCATTGCTTTGAGCTTTGATCTAAGAAAGGTTTCGGGTCATGGTACTTCCCACCCATGCATAGTTGAAAACACAAGGAAGATGGTGTTGCAAACTTGTAAAACCCTGAAGCAGTGTTCATATTATTGAAAACCCAGAGCAGTTATGCTCCACGCATAATGCCGACAGATAATCAGTCTTTACATACACAACAGCCAGAAATAATATTGAACAAAGGAATCAATCACGCATAAGATTGGACACAGTAAAGGAGGAGTTGACTTTCTACCATCAAACTTTTAGCCGCAATACCAAGTCAAGTGATTTAGAGAAGTATTATTAGTTCGTTAGTTTGAGGACATGTGAAAAGAGAGAGAGAAAAATTAACCACAGAACCATCATAGTTAAGCACAAGGAAGTAAAGAGTATACTTCAGGCTGCTTCCTTGAGCCATAAACATTTATACTAAACGAAAGTATAGCTGTTATTGTTTTATTAATTCAAAGCAATCATACCTGACGCCCTATGTCTTCAGCAATAGGACTGGTTCCATCCAGAAGTAAAGCAGTTTTCAGCTGCAAATAGTATATTCATTAGTGAAGTACTTGTAGGAACATTTCTTTTGAACTCCTCACTCTGTAAATCATTGGTAAAAAATACTAATACAATTCCTTATTACTGATTTAAAAGTAGCATATTTATTTTTTTGCAATTTTTATTTGTTACACAGAAAACATCAGATGCAATGATAATGAAAAAACAAGAGATGAATTGAGCTCAAACTAATAGAGCCCCAAAGGATGAGTAGCAAAGTGGAAAGTCACTTCTTTTCCTCCTTTTCAAATGAGTAGCATGTAAAGGGTGATAGGAGCTTGTGCATGCTGGAATGAGATTGTGCAATGCAAAGAAGTATGCAATCCAGAGGACTTGTATATATACAATTAAAGAAAAGAAATATCCATTCCTTGAACCAATCACTGAGCATGGACTCTTGGCCTAAGACGAGGAGTGGGACTCCGAGAACAAAATGCACAGGCCTCAAATAATGTATTGCAGAATATATTTGACTCAAGGTAGGTACAAAGAACAAACACCAGCTTAAATAATGAACTGCATAATCCAAACACCAAAACTGTACAAGTTTTTTGAATCTGGCAATGCTTGAATGTCACATTACTAAAACACCCTAATCAGCATAGACTGTAAAGGTGTTTACTGTTGCTTTTGCATTAGCCTCCATCTCTAGGTCAATGGTACTGCCAGTTTTCACCTTTTCCATATACCTAAAGGAAACGTATTCAGATGGAGCCACATGGTTACCAAGTTACATGCTTCACCAATGACCCTCATGTAGTAATATGAAGGAGAAGTAGATGATGGAATAGAGAATAAAATAAAAAGTAGGAAATCCGACAAGAGGTAGCCTACAAACTTTAAACAAAACCACAACTTGAGAGTGAAATAAAGCTTCTAATACAGGAAGGAGGAGCTGTGAAATACCTGATTACGAGCACGAATTACATCAGCTTCCGAGACTTGGTAACATAACTTACTTATCGCGTGCATAATGGCATAAGCTAAGTCGTCCAAGCAATCCGGCTAGTACAAGCAAAGACACAAAATACACAGTTAAAGTCATGGAATTTTAATCAGAAGTTCACAGGTAATCAACGTGGACTTACCACAATGCAGATAGAGTTCACAGTAACATTCACAAGCGGCTGATTGGGACACTGTTTGGCGTACCTTAAAGTAAACTTATAAACAACTTCTTCAGTTTTACATATTTTAGCTAATAAGTTAGCTTTTTCCTTGTAAATAAGAAATGCTTCCTATTTTGACGAAAAGGGGAGGATTAGTGACAAAGAAAGTTACTTTTAATACGGTTTAATCATGAAAATAACTCAAATACTGTTCTTCCAACAAAAATTACCATCCATATCCTGACTAAGATGTTCTGTATATTATTTGAAAAACTAATTTAGAATATTCAAATTTATTAAAAAAATAAAAAAATAAATAAATAAATAAATAAATANTTTTGAATTAATTTAAAATACTAAAAAGCTAAATTCAAACATTAATGATTGGCAAAATATATTTATTTTAAATATAGTACTTTTAAAATAATAATTACTAAAATAATTAATAATATTTAGGTCTCAAATTCAATATTATTATAATGTAGTTTTATTATGTTTACATTTATTTTATCAGAACTTTCACTGAATTTCAAAATTAGTTATAACTTCATGTATGTTCAAAGTATTAATTGATGCAAAAGTATTTAAAATATGGGAATGCTAATTTCAAATATTTAAAATCTTAAAAAAAAAAATTATTGTTGAAAGAATTGGAAATATGAATATAAAATTTACTAGTCTACAAACCTTCCACTAAGAGAAGTCATTATTTCATTGCAGGATTAGGAACCAAGTCTAAAATTGTATAGACTTATCACATACTCTAAAAGAAAAGTATAAAGCTGGTTTTCCTTTTCACCAACTCAATTTCCCAACACATTAACTTAACATGCTTCATTTACCTTCAGTTTTTCCAAGCAATGAACTATTATATCTTCATTTATTCATTTGCAAAAGTATTCAAAGCAAGCAAAACATCTAACAAGAGGGAGAAAAGGCTAATCCTTAAAAATACGGTACATACAAATAAAAGAAACTATAAAGCAAAAATTTTCTTCAAAACCTATAAAATAGAATTTTGGAAAAGTGGGCTCACCTTGGCCACGGCATAGACGCCAAAAAGCCCCGTGTCTTTATAATTGGTGTTAAAAGCCATATAGCTCTCAGCTACTTCATTAATAGCCACCTTTTGTCCAAGTTCGGAGCTGTTAACAATATTGAAACCAATGCACATCAAACCCAATGAAAAGATCAATAGTTTCTGTTGCCTTTTAAACTCGATCAGAAACAGAAAACTGTAAGTCTATGACTACCATGAGCTTCCCATCACATGCAAAGGCATAAAGATGTAACAGGGATCCATCATGCAGGCATATAAGTATTGATGTAACTACATGCATGCGCATATAACACACGAACAAAAAAGAAAATCTATCATAGGATTGGATGTATACATAGATATATGTGTGTGGGTATACATACACATAGATACATCATAACACGTGCATGTTCGTACACAAACACGTACATATATACAGGCCCGAATCCAAGATAGACGCGTACAGCTATCTAAAGAAAAATATGAACTCACCCCATGTGCTTTCCTCCTCCAGCATTTTTGTTCCATGATCCCAGCATCGATTGCATGACCATCAAAGCAATGGAATCTGGATCTGTCCACGATGCTCCATCGAATGCAACAGCAAATTGAGCCAGAGGCATGTCATCATTAATCATCCGAACCTAAATTACACGGCGATATCGACATTGTGCTAAAACCCGGATAAGAACACAGAACAAGTATCATAGAAATATATGTCAAAGAGACTGCACACACACACCTCTGAACCAGTGAATATAGTTGGATTCTCCGCAATTAATTGAGATGTAACAGTGGGATGGGCAGACAACTTTGTGAAAAGCTTCTTAACCTGTTCAACAACTTCTTCATGCTTAACAGCTCCAGCAGCTGAAATTACCTGAAGCAAAAATTCACGAAGCTTGCAACTTTTAAAAATCTCCTTGAATGACCAACACTTCGGTAAAAGAATTAAACAGAAACAGAATTGAGATAGATGCATTAAACACATATAGTTTTGTTTTCACTACCATCCTATGAGCAGCGTAGTGGGTAGAAATGTAATCCCGTATATGTTCTTTTGTGATTGCCTGGATATTCTCAACAGGTCCAAGAATGGTTCTTCCCAAAGGAGTGTACTGGTATGCTGTTGCATGTAGGTGGTCAAAGATCACTTCTTCGTCGCTTTGTCCCACCTGAAAAAGAGCTTTAAACTGGTTTCTTAAACTCTCAAACTAGGTAGTCAAATACATATAGATGCACACAAGGAGTTATACATACATGCAAACAGACAAACATAAAATATAGCCACAGCAACTACTGTATCATAGGTGTATTCTATGAGTAGACTTCTACCTTATATGCCTCCTTCAGTCTGTCAAAAATCTCAATTCTATGACACAAAAACTTGTGACCTCTCATCCATGTGTCCTGGTAATGATTCTATGGCATTATGACCTTTACCATAAATATGTCATCCGTAGATCAAATTATTTAGTGGATAGGATTCACTTGATTGCCAACTGTTAAATTTTCTGAGTTTGGAGTAGAAGTTTTGGTTATATTTATAGCCATGCCTATAGTGCATTGTGATTTGAGATTTTTTTAATTTCTAAGAAGTCGAATAGAATAGCCTAACTAAATCCTAATGACCATGGAGCAACTAATATAAGAGCTTAGGTTGTTAGAGAGGGACCAAACTTGTTTATTTTAATTATGTCTTCAACATGCCACTTCACCAGTGAGGCATTTTCATTTTTTCATCAAAGATGTGACGTGCACAATTTCCATAAATAGGCTTTCTCTAGTTCTATTAGTCTGTTACAATGTTGTCATGTATAATATTGTCATGTGATCAGTAATGTAATGATGCATTATTTGCTATGTTATCGATCTATTTTCCTTGTTAGCAAAAACCTTTATTGTTAAATATTTTGTTATCAATATTCAAGATGCCTTACGGTTAATTTGGAGCATATTCTTACTTCTTGTGTTTTCAATTATTTTATTGGTTCATGTTGAACCATACATCCGGAGGCTTTGTCTCACCTCACGAGGTAACACACTCCGTTACTCAATAGATCCTTTTTAAACATTGTTACTGTTTGTATATATTATGAGAGGGATATACCACATTCGTTTATTGTGTATAGATAATGAAAACCCATTGAAGCAGTTAATTCCAATAGACTAACTGAACAGTCCCTTTTCAAAGTTTCTCCCGTTTAAATATCAGGTCATCGTTAGAACTCAGAAAGTCCAATATTGGAATTCGTAATTTGACTATATCATTTCGATTCTTCATTTAGATAACCTTTGTCGTTTTGCACAAGTTATATTCTAGATTTTCACCTAATGGGTCATTCACTTAAATACTGTGATTTTACAGCATATACTTACAACCGACAGCCAACCCTATGAAGTCTGTGCCTTTCTTCCAAACTGACAAAATATTCACCCAAAACATCGCCATTGATCAATAAATAAATCAAGCGGCAATGATAGAATAGAATATTTTACTTGCACAAGCAGACATCCTCTTTCGCAAAAATTCACTCTTGATAATCTTCATCAAAAAATAAAGTAGCATAACACTACTTCCTCATCAGAATATATTAAATTTCAGATATATCTTCTCCCATTACCATACTCTTGATAATCTTCATCAAAAACTGAAGTAACATAACACTAATTCCTCATCACAATATATTAAATTTCAGATATATCTTCTCCCATTACCATTCTTATCTGTCTTCACTTTTCAATTTTCATTCCATTCGGTCTTTTCTTGTTAGCACGTTTCACTAAGTTGAACTTTTCTGGTTAAAGGAATTTTTTTTCAACAATTTGATTTACTTGCTTCAATTGTTCTGAAACTCTACACATTTCTCGTTGAATAAAGTCATAAACTAGGAATCCTCAGTTACTCACAAGCTCTCATAACAAAGGACTAGAAAAACTTCAACCTTACAACATTTCTTACCTCTTCCATTTCGCGGAGAATCACGTTGCGCTCTACCTCGATCCTTTTCTCATCGAACACTGAGTTCTGCAAGATATCCGCGAGGATATCCAAAGCCTTGGGCACGTCATCCCCCATCACTTTAGCATAATATGCGGTCTGCTCACGCGAAGTGTACGCATTCAAATGCCCGCCCAAATTCTCAATCTCCTCCTCCAGAACCTTCACCGGCCGCTTCTCGGTACCCTTAAATATCATATGCTCCAAAAAATGAGCCACGCCATTGGTTTCGTCAGTCTCAAACCTTGACCCAGCATCGATATAGACTGCTACAGTGGCAGTGTGGGAAGCGAGATTGGACTCGGTGGCGATTCGGAGACCATTGGGTAAAGTTGTAATTTTGGTTTCTGGCAAGGATAAAATCGGGGTGTGATCAGTAGTAATCGGAAACGGCGATGAGTACTTTAAGAACCGTGAGTCGGGATTTTCGAGCCGTCTGAGTTTTGATTTCACGGCTTCAGCTAACTGATCGTAGATCATGCGGTCTGTGGGTGGTGGTGACGGGAGTGGGGTTTCAGGGGCTTCGGCGAGTGATTGGGATATGGATCGGGCTACGTAAGCTCGGTTGGGATCGGGCTTAACGACCCGTACCCGACGGAGAAGGTGGCGAAGCGCCATGGATTAGTGGAATTTGAGCTTTTTAGAAAGAGAAGTTCTTAGAGAGAGACCTCGGTGAAGACAGCCAAGGGGCTGGAGAGTGGAATTGTTTACAGAGGGAATGGGGACAATTATTAGATGCCACGTGGCGGCTTATGAAAGGATTTGCTCTGCATCGATTTTTTTGGAAGAGTCGCATTCATTGTGAAAAAATGATTTGAGTATAATTGCATGTTTTGATTTTAAGGGATTTTTATTAATGAATAGTTTTTTTGTGATTTGTTTCAATTTTTGTCAATTATTTGGCATCAAAAAATATGTTGATAAAATCAACCTTAATAAATCAAGTTTCGATTGTAAAATCTCGACATTATCGTGAATCAATGAATTTTGATTGTCCTCTTAGTCATGTTTGTAGGACGTGTTGCATCAGTACTCGACAAAGTAATCAACGTTATTGTTCATGAATTCACAATAATAAATAGATTTTAAATTTTATTATCCAAATCTGAACTTTAAATTCGGTATACATCCTTTTTATCTATGTGAGAGATTGGACAATAATTAGATTGAGCTTCATATAAGCTTGTTGGAACATACTCCCAAATTCATAGATCGAATAGGGGGTGTAAGCCCATCGATCCCACTAATACATGAATCAATAATTTATGTAAATGTTGGGAGGGAGTCTCCAACCAAGGACTTAATTTGTAAATGATGTCCTAACCACTAGGCCAATATTATGAAAGATTCATGCTACTCTATGTACAAAATGTCAAAAAATTTAGGGCTCATTTGATTTGTATTTTAGTTTTTAATTTTTAGTTCATTTTCAGTTTTCTATTTTGAGGGTCTGTTTTAACATTACTAAAAATACGTTTAGTTTGTCATTTTCAAAAATTATTTTCCAAAACAAAAACTAGAAAATACATTTGGTTTGAAATTTAAAAAAAAAAATTATGACATTTCATTTCATTAAATTTGATTAATCAATAAAAATAGAATAATTTTATGTTAATATATTATCAAGTAAGATATACTTTTTAAAGTTGGTGGATCTTAATTATTTTTCCTCACTATAAAAGTGATATAAAAATAATAATAATTTGAGTTCAAAATATAGGAAATAAAAATAAAAATTAATTATGTGAAATGAAAATGATAATATTTTTATCTACGTTCATTTAAATATATTTTTAAAATTTTTTTATGTAAAAAGTCATTGAGAGTTTGAACTATTTTTATTTTTCTAGAATTTTTTATATTTTTATTTTTTAGAATTTTATTTTTCTATTATAAGCTGAGCTCTCTTATTTTTGGTTTCTAGCATTGGAATAAAAATTTTAAAATTTTATTTGTTAGAATTTTATTTTTTCTAAGTATTTAAATGCTTATTTTCCATGTTTTAAGCATATTCAAAATTTTCACCGAGAACACTTATAATTTTAAGCTTCTTTTTAGAAAAAGCATATCAAACACATTTTCAATATTTTGCAAAATTGAAAATAGCAAACCAAACGCACATTTACTTTTCAAGTTAAGTTTTAATTTCCTTTTTAACTTTTAAGCTGGGTTTATGCTCGAATTGTTGCTTATTATTCATCACAGAGACTAGTTATCTCCATCCAAAACTTCTATTCCAATGCTAGAAACCAAATATCAAATCTAACTACTGATTTAACACAATTATTTCATAAGAGAACTCAGCTTGAAGTTTACTTTTCTTGTTCCATCAGCAACAGAAGTGAAGGATTCTTAAGGACTGTCTATTCTATTGTTAAAACAATGATTTGCCTGAATGTAACAGCCAGAAATAACAACAATTTTTGGCTGAGGAAGGAAACTGATGAAGTTTGAGTAGGAAATGTTCCACATTGCTAGATTATGCCCTGAAGCAAAACTCCCAGTAATAAGCAGAGCAGGGCAACCTACTGTATTTATTTACTCGACTGTATATAGCAGATGTATATGTGTTCAAGGTAATAAAATCGAGATGAATTCAAAACAAATTTCTAGTGTCATTCAGATATTAGGTAGAAGTCTGAGAGAAGTGAACTAAACTGACTTCAGCAGCTTGAAATTGCATAACTAGAACGACATTAATTACATATCTAAAACGAAATGAATTAGTCTTTGACACTAGTCTACAATGAAAAGACTAACAAAAGATGTCAGTTATAATATCAGCGTTTCAAATGAAATAAATGGATATGTTTGAAGTCTGTAAAAATCTAGGCATTTTATATCGATGCTTCTTACAGTCGATACCAACAACGACACTGCAATTCCTGTAACATCCTAATCTGCAAAACAAAACATAATGAGGACCATTGTCCACTAAATTGTTACTAAACTCGAGTATCTTCAAGAAGCCATCAATACAATACTTTGTGCTTATGTTTTTTGTACCAACCTACGATGCAAACAACTGGCCGTGTCCATAGTCCTCGTCCTTGGCTGGAGCAGAAAGATTAAGATCAAGTAAATGAGGAAGCTCTGGCTTGTTTATTGGAGTTCGACTGCTGTTTTCCTCATGACCGTTGATAATATGTGACCTCTTATGTCCACCTAAAGCCTGGCCATTCTTAAAAGACCTGTGGCAGAATGGACACACGTGGTCTTTACTTTGCATAGGCTTAATTCTCTTCTCAGCATATTGGGATGAAGTTTCAGCAGTTGGTTTTCTGTTTCTAGAAGACAACTCTCCAAAGTTATCGATCGTTCTGAAGTAAGTAGCATCATCTGAACTGTTCTCACCGGTTCCATATCTCACCTCAAAATGGGCATTACTTGTTTTCTGACATGGCCTATGTCCTCCAAGAGCCTGATAAGAATTGAATGTCTTTTGACAGTTCAAACATTCATATTTACTTTTCTTTTGAATTTGGTTGCTTATTTTAGCATCCGGGGAGCCATTTTTGGGACTCTCAGAAGTGTACTTTCTCTTCTGTGATTTGGTCTTGGAATAATTCGATTCCCTTTCAGCATTGACACTTCCATTTTCCTTCATATTGTCCCTACTTAAATCTGTTTTATAACTCTTCATCCTGGTCCAGATCATTAGGGGCTTATTGCATGCACCCGAACCACCATTGCTGTGACACCGGTTCATATATACATCGGACTCGATTTTAGTACATTCATCTAAGAAATATTCAGAATCCGAACTATCTACTTGAGCAATCTCACCATCCAAAACACTGTTCTTTGACTTCATATCCCCAATTTTCTTCATCCGGGGAGCTTCATCTTTATTAAGAACATAATTTAGGCCTTCCTTCCTATCAATTCTTATGTCCAACGAAGAAGATTTAGTCTCCAAAGCAACTGAATTATTATCAGAAGACTCCATAATTGAATTCACACCACCCCTATTCCCCGAATCCCGTGACAACATCATTAAACACATAGCTAAATCCTCTTTTTCTTGCTCCTCAATATCAGAACCACGAGATGAAAAACCATTAACAACAATTTTCTTGTACCACTTACACTTTAATGATGATCTGGTGTTTCTCAGCCTCTTACGGTCCTCGGACTCCGCATCCAAATCACTATCCATCACCACCTTCTGATTCTCACTAGTCCAAGAATGATCATCCTTCAAACCCCTCTCCTTCTCCGAATGACAAGCCATATGACCACACAATGCTTTGAGTGATTGAAACCCTTTACCACATTGTTTGCAAAATTTCTCCTGTGGCAAGGGATATTTTGAATCCTCAGCCCTCCATGATTTCTTGTGATTCTCTCTTAGACCATAAAAATTAGATTGCACATTTCCAAAATCATCAACCAATGAAAAACCATTAACAACAATTTTCTTGTACCACTTACACTTTAATGATGATCTGGTGTTTCTCAGCCTCTTACGGTCCTCGGACTCCGCATCCAAATCACTATCCATCACCACCTTCTGATTCTCACTAGTCCAAGAATGATCATCCTTCAAACCCCTCTCCTTCTCCGAATGACAAGCCATATGACCACACAATGCTTTGAGTGATTGAAACCCTTTACCACATTGTTTGCAAAATTTCTCCTGTGGCAAGGGAAATTTTGAATCCTCAGCCCTCCATGTTTTCTTGGGATTCTCTCTTAGACCATAAAAATTAGATTGCCCATTTCCAAAATCATCAACCACCCTCGATTCTTTGATGATATTCTTCCCAGAACTGCCCGATGATGAAATCTTTTTCATTTTGGATTGAAATTTTTCCTCAGATTCAACTGAATTTGCAACTAAATGAGATCTCATGTGACCCCCAAGTGACTTCCCACATGAGTACTTCTTGTTGCACAACTTGCAGACAAACCTCAATTCTTGATTCTCCTTCATTTGGATCAAGAAAAACCCAAGAGTAACAAGCACTAATCGGGCTTAAATTGTGCAACAATTCAGCATTTCTTGATCTAGCTCCAGGAAACAAACCTCGACTCTTGACCCTCATTCATTGGATTATTTGATTTATCGGGCAAACCAAGAAAAAAATATTAAAAAGCAATAACTGGGTTTAAATCTTGCATCAACACATTACTTGATCTAGCACCCACCAAATAGTTCAACAAAAAAGACCCCAGATCGAAAAATTAACAAAAACAAAGTTGAAAAAGGTTATATCGGGAATATGGGTTGGGCACGGAAAATGAAAAATCAAAGTTTTGAACATATGGGTCACTTATGATGGGCTTGAACTAGCCAATGAAGACTTAAAACTGAACACAAAGATTCTTTTTTTCCTGGTTTTATTACCAATATTCTGGTCTATAAGATAAAGAATTTCTTGCATGAAAGCAAAGAAACAAAACGACGAGAGTTTATCGATCCAAATCAAACAGTAGAAATTTGTTGTTGTGTAAGGGAAAATCCCAAAGATTTGAGGAGTTTTACACTAAAATATTCCATTATGCCATGTTTTTGTCTTTGCTTGCAATAAAGGCCCGAATCTTCGGCCGTTATTATGTATACTTCCTATTTTGCCCTTAAAACTCAACATACGTACATAAGCATGTATCATCTGTTGCCATGAGTTCTTTGTTGGGAAAAGGAATTTGTATTTATACCTTTTTACTAGATATAATATGTCGAAGTGATATGATCTCGAATAAATTCAATAAGAATCACGTATAGCATTTCAATCTTTCATAAAATTCAACTCTGATTTGGCTCGGATAAATCAAACATGTCACGTGCATTTGAAATTATGAATAGAACATTACAGTAAATCATAGTAATGATAAATCACGATGATGATTGATTCATATTATGTAAAACTAAGATAGCGTCAAACGTATTTTTGCATGTCAATGAAGATGGAATTATAATAATTTGTGCGTAGAAAAGATATGACAATTTTAATAGGAAGTAAAATAAAATCCTTGCAGATCTACCTCATAAATTGAGTCATTATAGGAAAGGTGTGTCCAACCATTGCAATAATACAAAAATTCTTTGCTTTCTTCTCGATATTTATGTATATTCTTGTTTTATCGAAAATAGATGAATTTTTCTTACTATCCTTTTCTCTTTGCGTTATATTATCGTACAAGTTGTAGTTCAACCAAAAACTTCTCAAATTAAGCACGAAAAATATATCATATGTGAATTTAAAGGCGAACGGCTTTATCAAATTATTTTAAGAATTTAGCTTCTTTGAAAAACAACATTTGTTTGTAGTTACTTTCTATCGTTTATCACTTCAAAAATTATTATTTTGCAATATATCAAATAAGAAAACAACTTTTTATGTTTAGATCAGACTTGATGATCGACCTCATCGTCTTGCGACGACTTAAAGTTTTTAAATCGCTTCCAAAATCACAATGGAAGGTTTAATAAGCAATTATTAATTATAATTTCATACAATCTTCAATCTGATTATTGAAAATGAAAGGCCGTTTGCTTTTATAGACAGTTGTTCTAAGTGTATGAACATACTTTCTTGAGAGGGTTTGGATATGGAATAGCTTGAGCAGCGTAACCCAACTCATTGTTACTTTTTTCTTAATTTGAGTAATTATCTTAGCATTTTACAGCTTGATGATAAATATTCTTAAACCAACTCTCGCATTTATTATGAATTCATCTGACATGGTTAGTACGTAGTATTACTGGACAACTGACCATGAGTGTATGTTACCGTAGACAATATTTAAAAAAAAAAAATCTTTAATTTTAATATCATTCAGAGTTGTCATATCCATCTTATTAAACAATGAGTTTCCCTTTTAAAACGTTCATATTTCATAAAATAGAAGTTGTATCACAATTTGAAACTGTATCAGCAATACTAACACAATTTGAAAAAAATCCATCTTCATCTATCACCATTATACAAACTGTTTACATGTGTTAAGAAAGTTCAGACAATCTTGAAAGACTTAAACTGTGGTTCAGAACTCTACATACTCCATAAAAATTTTTTAGCTACTATTGAAAAAAAAAATTCAAGTATTGCAACAAATGTGAGGGAGGGTACCTTTAAAATTTGGCTTCCCCTCAAGACGAAGATTTTAAGGCAACACGATAGGTTCAATCTGTTGGAAAATATATTATGGCAAATGAATTTTCACTTGTGTATGTGAAATTAATCCCACATTGATTGAAAGTTGGGATTTGAAGAGGAGCCTTAAAAGGGATTAACAATCCCACATTGGTTAGAAATGGAAAAGTGGGAATATATGGGGACTATAAATAGTACCATCCCACATTGGAAAAAGAAAAAAG